AAATAAGTAATAATAAAGTTAATAGATGTAAAATTCATTACTTTCTCAGCCTGAAGGACAGTGTAGAAGATATTTGGTTGATATATGCAGCTGTATTTCATTTTTAGTCATTTTTACTGTACTTACAGTATCGCAATGGCACCACAGCCTCTCTAAAGTATGTGGTTTCCCACTCCAAAACATTGGCTAACTTTTGGAGTTCACTTCATTCTACGCAATATTTTCCATCACTCATAAGACATGCATATTCTCATCATGCAGTCATGTTAATATTGAGGTTTAAAGCACTTATTTAAATCTCTTTTTTTGACCCCCGACTATAGGATGCATTTGCAACAGTAATGTCTTGAATGCAATTTTTATTCATAATCATCAGTTGTCTGTCCATATCCAGTTGACTCCTGAACCCTCAATTCATTGGTGGCAACTGATCTCTGATTACTGATCTCAATACGTCAGCGGATGTCAAGGCGCCATTTGATAAAGTACCAAATGTCCTAGTGTTTGGCGCCATCTGGTGTAAGTTCACCCCCGTTTGGACTGGTTGAGGTAAAAAGCAGCATGAAGAATGATGCATCTCGGGTTGCTCACCTCAAGATCCAGGATGACCACTCAGTTTTGAGGCGTTCACACGCCTACTACTGGCAGGTACAGGGTCAGCTGGCAATCAGCGGATTGGAATGGTGCGACTTTATTACAGACACACTAACAACAATAACTGTTGAGCGGGTGTGGCGTGACGAGGCTTTCATTGATCAAATTAAATCTAACCTGGACTTATTTTACTTCAACACCTTCACTGATGTGTTCATGTCAATGCAATAAGAATTATAAAATGTGTAACCAACCCTTTTGTTTCTTTGCATTTCAAACATCCAATCTCAAGCTGTGTGAATCACTGTAAATAGTTGTTACTCATGAAACATACAGAGATGTGCAAATGTCTTTAAAAGGCAGTTGGATAATTTACAAAAATTTGTTTTCTTAACTGCAGTTGTCTTGAAACTTCTGTTTTAAAATTTTTCTCCTTGAGGTTGTCTTAAGTATTTTTTAAATCAATCTATGGTGTACAATTATAAAATATAAAAGTTATGGATTTTTTTGTTTTTACTAGATATTGTAAATTGTACTTGATTTGTTTTCCTTGCAATTCAACTTAATACAAAAAGAAAGTCAAGTGTGCTGCCAAAGTGTGTTTTAATTGAATATTCTTTGCAAAAGTCTAGACATTTAACTTTTTACACAGCATTACAACAATTAACACACAGAAATAATTTAGTCTGCAACACAAAATGGGCCTTGATAATTTGCCAAAACACAACAGTTGTGCCAGATTTGATTGACAGTTCCTATTAAAGTGAGAGGCAGCGGGGAATCCCAGATGTGGCAGCACTTTACTCTAGCGATTGCTCGCTCTACAATGATCTGCAGCCGAGCAATGGTCTGGGTCTCCTCTGTCTCTTCCTTGCTGAACTGACCAGGATGCTTAAATGGTGGAATGATGAGTTTGGCTCCAACTTCATGAAGGAGGTCTTGAATGAGGAAGTCTTTATCTGCCATAACTTCATCTCTCAGCTCAAGCAGAGGAAGGATTCCACTGACCTTTGTTATTTCTTTGTCGGAGATGCAGCCTGTGTACAACGCTGAAATAAATGTCACCAACTCATAGGGAGCAACTCCAATCAGCCCTTTCAGAGTGGTGTGGTTCTTGTAGGCAGAGAACGTTTCAGACTGTAAGGTGGGGATGATGGTGTTTCCAGAGCAACTTCTGTGCAGTCCAAGATGACATGGACATTTGGAGAGAACTGCAGAAATTTCTGAGGCGTACTGGCTTTTACCTTCTCACGACGAATCCACAGGTTGATGGAAGAGAACACAATGAAGAGGTAGTCGGCCCAGGTGATGGTCACTCGGCTGACAGTAGCTATGCTGACTTGAAACATGTCACCAATGAGCTGCTCCTTCATGCCCACTGCAACCCTGAACTCATCAATCAGAGGCATGCAGCGGGCAGGGCTGGCTTCAGCACATGCTTCCTCTCCAAGTTTCTGTGCTCTGGTCCAGAACACCAGGCGTGATGCAGAGGGTGCAATGGACTCCCAGAAGATCCGGAACACACATTCAGATGGAAATTTGGTGTAGAACCGGATATGGTCATCAGAGGCACAGTAGTGGCTAAAAAGTGTGGCAGACAAATCCACTTTTTGAAGTCTGGCCTCCAACTCCTTCATATAATCCAGAGCTTCATCAAATGCACCTGTAAAACCACAAAATAAAATAGCAAAACATACGGTTAGCAATAAGTTTTAATTATATATTGGAAACATTACTTCTGTGAAGATCAATACATGTTGTGAGTCGGAGCATTTATGTATACAGCCATTGACTTAATCTCTCCACAAAACACATAACCACATAATCTCATAATTTCATTATTATGTGATCATAATAATAATAATATAGTAACAGTTATACTTTACTGAAATTCTCTTACATGGAAAATATATACAATATACTATCTTTTACCTGCGGGTGGATGTGTCGTGTAGTCATGGTCCGCAGTAGCATCTTCAGCCTGGCTAGCTTTCTGAGAGGACAAACTGCCGTTTCTTCGTCCTCTCGAAAGCAGACTCTCTCCTTGCCGGTGCAGTGAAGTTATTCCAGGCAAACAGGGAAGGAACAAATCCACTTCTAAGGCGGCTGGTGGTGGATCCGCCAACAAAATCCTCCGGTGTGAAGTGGCGGCTACATACGAAAGTGCTCCCCGTCTTTATGCAAAAGTCCGGACCGTCATCTCTTCGGATCGCCTGGATCCACTGCCTCCGTTGGTCCGGGTCCGTCAGGAACGCATGATATGACAGATAAGGCTGTTTTATTGCCCCACGTGAACAACCAGGGACTGAACAAAAGCAACTGCGCCGAGACTGAGCCATTTTTCTAGCCTGTTAATGCTAACGCTATAGCCACCGGAAGTTATCCAACCCCACATCCGCTTTATAAAACGCATGCGTACAACTGTCCCGTCCCCGCGCATGCGCACAACCACGCCGGCCCCGCGCATGCGCTCAACCGCCCCGTCCCCGCGCATGCGCTCAACCGCCCCGTGCATGCGCTCAACCGCCCCGGCCCCGCGCATGCGCACAACCACGCCGGCCCCGCGCATGCGCTCAACCGCCCCGGCCCCGCGCATGCGCACAACCACGCCGGCCCCGCGCATGCGCACAACCACGCCGGCCCCGCGCATGCGCACAACCACCCCAGCCCCGCGCATGCGCACAACCGTTTCGGCCCCGCGCATGCGCACAACCGTTTCGGCCCCGCGCATGCGCACAACCGCCCCGGCGGGTGGATGTGCCGTGTAGTCATGGTCCGCAGTAGCATCTTCAGCCTGGCTAGCTTTCTGAGAGAGGACAAACTGCCGTTTCTTAGCCCTCTCGAAAGCAGACTCTCTCATTGCCGGTGCAGTGAAGTTATTCCAGGCAAACAGGGAAGGAACAGCTACACTTCTAAGGCGGCTGGTGGTGGATCCGCAACAAAATCCTCCGGTGTGAAGTGGCGGCTACATACGAAAGTGCTCCCCGTCTTTATGCAAAAGTCCGGACCGTAATCTCTTCGAATCGCCTGGATCCACTGCCTCCGTTGGTCCGGCTACGTCGGGAACGCATGATATGACTGATAAGGCTGTTTTCTTGCCCCACATGAACAACTGCGCCGAGACTGAGCCATTTTCCTAGCCTTTTAATGCTAACGCTATAGCCACCGAAAGTTGTCCAACCCCACATCCGCTTTCAAACCCGGAAGCGTGAAAAAGTTCTATACTATGAATACAGTAATATATGTTTCTACGAGGCATGCAAGTTCATATAACCAACTGCGACATCAGGGGTATTTCTTACCTGCAGTCTGGGCCATTACTCAGTGGTCCTAAATCTTCTCTCAAATGAAAGTTTGCTTTTTAATTTAAAAATAAAAGTCCCAGAAACTAGAGCAAGATAATAGAGGTGCAGAATCTAGGTTGCTTTAACTATGCGTGTAGTTTACACAGTCAGTTGAAATTCTACTTCAATGGGGAAAAGCCCAAAGGAGCACAGAGGAGTTGATAGAAGAATGGACAGACTGCAGACAGACTGCCTTCATGCCGCATTGGTGGAGAATTCAATTATTTATTTGCCCTTTGGGATCATCAAAGGATTTTAAAATCTAAATTCAAGCCAAAGCAGTCAAATACGGAGAGCTGATAATGCACTACCATATTTTTCTGGTTTTGTTTTGAATAAATATATAACATACTGTATCACTTCCACCTCTTCTTCTTGTTCTGGCAATTAAGAGTTCGTCGCACTGCTGGTGTGAAGTCAGCTTTAATGAAACTCTTTAAGGTCGTTCTTATTACAGCTTCAGTTTCCCTGACACCAACACCACCGTCGAACTAAAACACAACGTAAACTTAGTGAGATGGTGTCAAGAATACAATATCGATATAAAAATAACATAAAACATATAAACATACCTCGCTGGCTAACCCTTCCTTTTGAGGTAGAAATGAGGTCATTCAGTAAATTCTTACACTTAAATCATGTTTCTTCATCTGCTTGCCAACGCGATGCTGTTATATCGCAAGCGTCTCTAGTAACCTGGTAACCAGACGCTTCTACATCTACTTCCTACCTTAAACCTTCAAAATAAGAGTCTTAACAAAAACTATAAATAATACAAAATAAAACCTGTAAATTAAAACTTTGGCAGTAAAATACTGCTTCTGTTGGCTTGTGAAACTAGAAATAAACACCGTGTGTTTCGAGTCAGTGTAATACAGTTTCTTTCTTAACCACTGAAATAAATTAACCTTTCTATTATACAATCATTTAATTTACTACAAGGCACATTGGTGCAATATCAACAGCTTTATTGCCTGAATCGCATTGGCACTGATATTTCTGACAGAACGTGAAGGTAACGCAACAACTGGGAAGTCACGTGACGCCAGACCAGGTCACGTGATGAAAGGACCTGTGGTAACCGTCGTTTGAGCGGTTGAAGCAGTCTGGCTCAGGATGCTCAGCGCTTTGTGGCTGTTTTTGTGGCTGTCCGCCGCCCTGAACGCGGCGGCGCCGCCGGACTCGGGCTTGCTGTTTCCCCGGGAGTCCTCCTCCAGGGAGCTGAAGGAGCTGAGCGGGCTCTGGGCCTTCAGGGCGGACGGGTCGCCGAACCGGAACCTGGGCTTCGAGAGCGCTTGGTACAAAAGTCGGCTGTCAGAGGTGAGTGGGCCCGCAGAGGCAAGCCGGACCGACCGTAGGCGTAAGATGCTGCAATACTTCACATGCCATAAACTGACTCGACCAATCACAATGTTCATTACGAATAGTGGCAAATGTTGCAGTTTTTGCATCCATAACATATAGTTTGGAAAAAGGGGCAAGGCTGGGGAAACGTTACTCTGAATTTATCCTCCCTTATGCAAATGTTTTAAGCTTTTCTTCACTTTAAAACCTAAAAATGCATTTAAAAAAAACAAAAAAGTAGTTTCTTTTAAAAATGATAAATGTCTCAAAGTTGATATTCATACAACAAGCAGGTCTGGGGAAGCATGTGGAGCAAACAAAACTGGTCCAAAACTCTTTGGAACGCAAGAACTGCACTGATATTTCCACAAAAGATGTTGTACACATGAAGAAACTGGAATCTATCAGATAAATAATCATTTTTAAAAAGCCTTTATTCCTAATAATATGCTCAAGGGTGGGACACTCAATCAAGTCGATTTTTGAAAATGCATTTGTGGATAAATATTGCACTTAAAGCAGTACTATTTAAATGTCCATATTGGGAAAGGACAACTTAAGAAAAGAATAAACGAAAGTCATTGGGCCGCCCTGATGAGACGTGCTCCCAGACCTCCTGGCTGTGCTCAAACATTTCTGACGAGGTCACCATTACTCCTTTACCCTCTGACCTTTCAGTCAATGGGATGGAGCGCCAAAAGGTACCACTGGTTACAAATCCTAAAAACGTTTCAGTTTTTGAGGACTTTTAAAGCTTAAGGGTGCACAGAAGAGCAATGCCAATTTAAGTATTTTACTTTTTAAAATTGAAACGTTGATGGTTTCAGTGTGAGAAATGAAGTGGTCATTCATGGAGTAAAAATAGGTCATTAGGAAATACAGGAAGCAGTTCTGATTTTCTTTTTTCTATGCTTGGTCAATATTTATAGGATTGTTGCAGTTTTGCATAATATTCTGATCAATGACTTGCTTAATCAGATCATTTCAAAAGGACACAAATTAACCACTGATGCATCACAACCCTAAAAATACAGGTGCTGTCAGACTGTAGTTTTCTTGACTTCTCGAAAGAAAACCACAAAGTTCAAGCAGTTTGACTCGCCCACTTCACTACAGTATTTAATAATGGCACCAAAATTATTCAAATCTATTTTTGGTTGGTGCAAATTAACTTTTTACAAATCCACAAAAAGCAACATTTGCCATGTATGTTGTTCACTAACCCCTGATTTCAATTGAGTCTTTTTGCTGAACTGCAATCACCTGAATGGGGCGTGTTGAAGCAAAGGAACATCTAAAACGTGCAGGTCAGTGTGCAGGTCAGTGAGGGGCAAGGCTGGGGAAACGTTACTCTGAATTTATCCTCCCTTATGCAAATGTTTTAAGCTTTTCTTCACTTTAAAACCTAAAAATGCATTTAAAAAAAACAAAAAAGTAGTTTCTTTTAAAAATGATAAATGTCTCAAAGTTGATATTCATACAACAAGCAGGTCTGGGGAAGCATGTGGAGCAAACAAAACTGGTCCAAAACTCTTTGGAACGCAAGAACTGCACTGATATTTCCACAAAAATGTTGTACACATGAAGAAACTGGAATCTATCAGATAAATAATCATTTTTAAAAAGCCTTTATTCCTAATAATATGCTCAAGGGTGGGACACTCAATCAAGTCGATTTTTGAAAATGCATTTGTGGATAAATATTGCACTTAAAGCAGCACTATTTAAATGTCCATATTGGGAAAGGACAACTTAAGAAAAGAATAAACGAAAGTCGTTGGGCCGCCCTGATGAGACGTGCTCCCAGACCTCCTGGCTGTGCTCAAACATTTCTGACGAGGTCACCATTACTCCTTTACCCTCTGACCTTTCAGTCAATGGGATGGAGAGCCAAAAGGTACCACTGGTTACAAATCCTAAAAACGTTTCAGTTTTTGAGGACTTTTAAAGCTTAAGGGTGCACAGAAGAGCAATGCCAATTTAAGTATTTTACTTTTTAAAATTGAAACGTTGATGGTTTCAGTGTGAGAAATGAAGTGGTCATTCATGGAGTAAAAATAGGTCATTAGGAAATACAGGAAGCAGTTCTGATTTTCTTTTTTCTATGCTTGGTCAATATTTATAGGATTGTTGCAGTTTTGCATAATATTCTGATCAATGACTTGCTTAATCAGATCATTTCAAAAGGACACAAATTAACCACTGATGCATCACAACCCTAAAAATACAGGTGCTGTCAGACTGTAGTTTTCTTGACTTCTCGAAAGAAAACCACAAAGTCCAAGCAGTTTGACTCGCCCACTTCACTACAGTATTTAATAATGGCACCAAAATTATTCAAATCTATTTTTGGTTGGTGCAAATTAACTTTTTACAAATCCACAAAAAGCAACATTTGCCATGTATGTTGTTCACTAACCCCTGATTTCAATTGAGTCTTTTTGCTGAACTGCAATCACCTGAATGGGGCGTGTTGAAGCAAAGGAACATCTAAAACGTGCAGGTCAGTGTGCAGGTCAGTGAGGGGCAAGGCTGGGGAAACGTTACTCTGAATTTATCCTCCCTTATGCAAATGTTTTAAGCTTTTCTTCACTTTAAAACCTAAAAATGCATTTAAAAAAAACAAAAAGTAGTTTCTTTTAAAAATGATAAATGTCTCAAAGTTGATATTCATACAACAAGAAGGTCTGGGGAAGCATGTGGAGCAAACAAAACTGGTCCAAAACTCTTTGGAACGCAAGAACTGCACTGATATTTCCACAAAAGATGTTGTACACATGAAGAAACTGGAATCTATCAGATAAATAATCATTTTTAAAAAGCCTTTATTCCTAATAATATGCTCAAGGGTGGGACACTCAATCAAGTCGATTTTTGAAAATGCATTTGTGGATAAATATTGCACTTAAAGCAGCACTATTTAAATGTCCATATTGGGAAAGGACAACTTAAGAAAAGAATAAACGAAAGTCGTTGGGCCGCCCTGATGAGACGTGCTCCCAGACCTCCTGGCTGTGCTCAAACATTTCTGACGAGGTCACCATTACTCCTTTACCCTCTGACCTTTCAGTCAATGGGATGGAGCGCCAAAGGTACCACTGGTTACAAATCCTAAAAACGTTTCAGTTTTTGAGGACTTTTAAAGCTTAAGGGTGCACAGAAGAGCAATGCCAATTTAAGTATTTTACTTTTTAAAATTGAAACGTTGATGGTTTCAGTGTGAGAAATGAAGTGGTCATTCATGGAGTAAAAATAGGTCATTAGGAAATACAGGAAGCAGTTCTGATTTTCTTTTTTCTATGCTTGGTCAATATTTATAGGATTGTTGCAGTTTTGCATAATATTCTGATCAATGACTTGCTTAATCAGATCATTTCAAAAGGACACAAATTAACCACTGATGCATCACAACCCTAAAAATACAGGTGCTGTCAGACTGTAGTTTTCTTGACTTCTCGAAAGAAAACCACAAAGTCCAAGCAGTTTGACTCGCCCACTTCACTACAGTATTTAATAATGGCACCAAAATTATTCAAATCTATTTTTGGTTGGTGCAAATTAACTTTTTACAAATCCACAAAAAGCAACATTTGCCATGTATGTTGTTCACTAACCCCTGATTTCAATTGAGTCTTTTTGCTGAACTGCAATCACCTGAATGGGGCGTGTTGAAGCAAAGGAACATCTAAAACGTGCAGGTCAGTGTGCAGGTCAGTGAGGGGCAAGGCTGGGGAAACGTTACTCTGAATTTATCCTCCCTTATGCAAATGTTTTAAGCTTTTCTTCACTTTAAAACCTAAAAATGCATTTAAAAAAAACAAAAAAGTAGTTTCTTTTAAAATGATAAATGTCTCAAAGTTGATATTCATACAACAAGCAGGTCTGGGGAAGCATGTGGAGCAAACAAAACTGGTCCAAAACTCTTTGGAACGCAAGAACTGCACTGATATTTCCACAAAAGATGTTGTACACATGAAGAAACTGGAATCTATCAGATAAATAATCATTTTTAAAAAGCCTTTATTCCTAATAATATGCTCAAGGGTGGGACACTCAATCAAGTCGATTTTTGAAAATGCATTTGTGGATAAATATTGCACTTAAAGCAGCACTATTTAAATGTCCATATTGGGAAAGGACAACTTAAGAAAAAGAATAAACGAAAGTCGTTGGGCCGCCCTGATGAGACGTGCTCCCAGACCTCCTGGCTGTGCTCAAACATTTCTGACGAGGTCACCATTACTCCTTTACCCTCTGACCTTTCAGTCAATGGGATGGAGAGCCAAAAGGTACCACTGGTTACAAATCCTAAAAACGTTTCAGTTTTGAGGACTTTTAAAGCTTAAGGGTGCACAGAAGAGCAATGCCAATTTAAGTATTTTACTTTTTAAAATTGAAACGTTGATGGTTTCAGTGTGAGAAATGAAGTGGTCATTCATGGAGTAAAAATAGGTCATTAGGAAATACAGGAAGCAGTTCTGATTTTCTTTTTCTATGCTTGGTCAATATTTATAGGATTGTTGCAGTTTTGCATAATATTCTGATCAATGACTTGCTTAATCAGATCATTTCAAAAGGACACAAATTAACCACTGATGCATCACAACCCTAAAAATACAGGTGCTGTCAGACTGTAGTTTTTCTTGACTTCTCGAAAGAAAACCACAAAGTTCAAGCAGTTTGACTCGCCCACTTCACTACAGTATTTAATAATGGCACCAAATTATTCAAATCTATTTTTGGTTGGTGCAAATTAACTTTTTACAAATCCACAAAAAGCAACATTTGCCATGTATGTTGTTCACTAACCCCTGATTTCAATTGAGTCTTTTTGCTGAACTGCAATCACCTGAATGGGGCGTGTTGAAGCAAAGGAACATCTAAAACGTGCAGGTCAGTGTGCAGGTCAGTGAGGGGCAAGGCTGGGGAAACGTTACTCTGAATTTATCCTCCCTTATGCAAATGTTTTAAGCTTT